CACACACACACACACACACACACACACACAGGCAGAGAAACAGAGGGGCAGAGAGTGAGAGGTGGAGAAATCCCTTTACTGACATCATGGCACCTACAGCTCACGGCACGTATCCAGGTGGTGAAACGCAGGCGGTGAATTCAGCGATTATTTTCATTATTGATTCGTTTTAATGTTTGATGACCTGAATATTTTCCACTGTTAATTGTTTTCACCACTGAAGATCATGAAACTGGTGAAACTTGACCATCAAAAAACCCGAAGTGATGTGCACGAGGAGCTGCAGGTGTAACGGGTGCATCTGTCTACGAGAAAATGATTGGTCGACAGATGATGTTGGGTCAGAGCTCCTTACGGGCGCCTATTTAAGCTCCGTGTGTGTGTCCTCAGGTCCAAGCCAAAGAAAAGCCTTGCTTGCACTTGTGTGTCAAGTACACAGACACTTAGATACACACACAGAGGCACACACTGCACACATGAAAACATCAGAAAAGCAGCAGCAAAGGTTTTCATTTTTGATTGTCAGTTGTAAATTTTTTTATAAAATGAAGCAACAGCTGTGCATAGACTGTATATAAAAGATGCGGACACTTCCAGGTCTGAAAAGTGAAGTCAGCAGAGGGTGACTCCTGTGTTTGCGAAAACAAAAATTTATGACCTTCTGATGGTTTTATGGTCTCAGTTTCCAGTTCCAAGTCTTATTGAAAGCAGCGTGATGTTCATTTTGTAATTTATGGTCTCCATTAGCGTTCACAAATACTATAAAAATGCTCAACTCGAGGCTTCACAGCAGGACTTCACAAATCAGTGGGTGGTTGTCCACAGTTTATCCAAAAAAGTGTTTTCAAATCACTGTATTCATTTTAGAGGGGAAAAGAAAATAGTTGGTTTAGCTGCACAACATGAAGAAGTAAGTCAAGTACAGTTGAATGTGCAGTTCTCTGGAGGACTTAACCCTTTAAGACCTACCACAGAACCAAGTCCGCCAGAGCTTATATTATATTTTTACATGCT